GTTTCCATAACGATGATAAATAGAAATATTAGGGTATATAGAAATATTATTAGAGAACTTAAATCATGTTGTTAGTAAGAGTTTCACGCTATGTCATTTATTTATTATAAAACAACAGTTTGTGATTGACAATAGAATTCTTGATGAATCGATCTATAAATTATTTTAAAATCTCACATTCGTTTTTCATGCACCATTGACCTATTATGGCTGGTGTAGATTCATTATGTTCAACAATCCATCTTTATTCCTGTCATTGTGACATCTTCACAATGTCAAGGAAGTTTTGTAATGGCTTGACATTGTGAAGATGAAGTTTGTAATAGTTTGACATTGTAAAGATGAAGTTTGTAATAACTTGACATTGTGAAAATGAAGTTTGTAATAGCTTGACATTGTAAAGAGGAAGTTTGTAATAACTTGACATTGTGAAAATGAAGTTTGTAATAACTTGACATTGTGAAAATGAAGTTTGTAATATAATAGCTTGACATTGTAAAGATGAAGTTTGTAATAGCTTGACATTGTGAAAATAAAGTTTGTAATAGCTTGACATTGTGAAAATGAAGTTTGTAATAGCTTGACATTGTGAAAACGAAGTTTGTAATAGCTTGACATTGTGAAGATGAAGTTTGTAATAGCTTGACATTGTGAAAATGAAGTTTGTAATAGCTTGACATTGTGAAGATGAAGTTTGTAATAGCTTGAAATGTGAAAATAAAGTTTGTAATAGCTTGTTATTGTGAAAACGAAGTTTGTAATAGCTTGACATTGTGAAGATGAAGTTAGTAATAGCTTGACATTGTGAAGATGAAGTTAGTAATAGCTTGACATTGTGAAAATGGCATCTATAACCAGAAAAATGACACAAATTCTCTGCCACCTGGCTGAGTTAAGTCCCTGTTAACTCAGCTTAAAGCTCAAAGCTATAGGCTCTCATCATTTGTAATTGTTGAAAGAAGTCAGGCATGTTTTGATCTCTGTCATTAAATATTCTCCTTTCAGCTTTCCATCAAACAGTAATAATACAGAATGTTTTAAATGAAAGGATTATTTCCACCTTTATAAACACTATGTTGTATTGTTTAATATCAGTTAGAGATGTATTGTGTAACTACTGTTAATAATACACCAATAAATATCAGGAGAGGAAGAATTATTGTACCTAATCTGATTATTACAATAGGTTTTAGTTGTTACATACTAGTAGGAAGGGTATTGTTACACCAGAATTAAGGTGTAAATATACAAGATACTGTCATGGTGCTGGAATATCAATACAGTAGAAAATAGCAGAAGCAAACACACACGACCTGTCCAGACACAATTGGCATTTCCTATTTTCTACTGTATGGATAATCCTACACTGTTGTCATGTACCATATCAATTTCCATCATCAACTCTTTCATGTACATTAAAAGTTTTTATATAGGGTGGGTAATGACCTACCAATGTCTTTCTGATGTCTAGTTGGGTCAACCACAACCTAAGGTTTTCTGTGCTACATGCTTTGCGCATAGATATTATTCACTCCAATGTTTTTGAGAAACTGAAAGCGAGGTTCATGACGCAAATTCTGTCATCCATTGATAAGATGACAACGTCGTATGAATGAATAAACCAAGGCTCTATGTGCTACCTGCCCTGTAGACATTATTCATGCCTCGTTTTTGAGACCATGAGAACGAGGTTCATAATGCAAATTATGTCATGGCGACATCATATGAATGAATAGTCTATAAAAAAATGGGCTTAAGACTGCCCTTTCTGTATGAAGGTAACATTCATCTGAAGATATCAAGTAAATTCCAAATTAAATGATGTAAAATATGATTAGTTTTAAGTTACTAGGATTGGAGAAGGAGGCATTAAAGACGTCAAGATGGCCATTTTACTGCAGTGACACCACGTTAACTTTGTTTGTTTGCGTTATGAGCCTAGATCTGGATTAAATATGACTGACACATGAATAAGGTCTATTAGAGATCCTTACAGTTGGTAATTTAAACAGAGTACTCGTGCTGCTATCCTGGAAAAAATTCCCTAATTGCACACTTCATGACCTAACCTATCATACTATCAATAGGAATAAATGACCTGTTATTATGTTGAATAGACAATAAACCTCATTTCTATTATTCTACATAAAGAAGACAATATAAGAGAAGAAAGCTGTATAATGTCTGTTTTATTTTGTTATTGAGTTGGAAACAACAGCTAAATAGAAATATTCTGCTGGTTTATAAAATACTGAAAGAGAACAATAAATCATCAATAAGCTTTTATTATTTTGTTTATTTCTTCTGTTTTCAAGTCAAGTCAAATAATGAAAATTGTATTTTATCATAAGATTTGAGTGTAGACGTGCAAAATTCAATTTGTCTTGTGGTTTACTATAAATACTACAAAGATGGTAAATTAAAATTCCTGTTGTTTTACTCCTTAAGATTTTAATAAATTTCTTGTCTTCCAGAGTAACCAGGATTGAAAAAGTCACAAGATTTCTAGTTTGTGAGAAGGGTTCTTGAGGTATTTTTAGAGTAATGGAGAATATGAGATATTGTGAAGGAATACAAGAAAGAGATAAAGTAGTTATCAGTTTAAATTGTCAGTAGGTTTAAGTAGCCGTGTTATAAATTCACACTTCAAAACTTCCATTACGACAGATTTCTTTTTAATTTTCATTGAAATATAGGTTGTTATTGAAATTGTTGTAAATATAAATTGTTAATGATCCTAGATGTATGTGAAATATTTTAAAGCAGTGCTTCTCATCAAGGGAAGATTTGGAAGACGATGGGAGGAATTAACGCAAAGGGGGGGAATGGGGAGAAATTGTTGGACTAGGGTGGAAATGAGAGGCAAGGTGATCTACGACTGATATTGATGTCATTCACGCCTGACATTCAGAAAATCGTGAACAAACATTTGGCCCAATGATCATATTGAACTATCTTGATATGTGGAGTATTATTTTATATTTATTCATGGTTAATCGTTGAATATATTATTCGAGTTAAATACATTCAAAATGAATGATTTATTTTGGGGAAGACTAGATTTGAAAGAACTCTTTCAGAGAGGAATGATCTCACTGAGGTTGAGAAGCACTGTCTTATATACTATAATTGTTTGCATCAGTTATTTCCTTGTCATTAGATGATCCTTTCAATTTAAAGTCTATTTAACAAAAACGTTACTAAAATGAAACCAATCTGATTGGCCGATTATGCTAGATTAAAACTAAATTATAGTAATTGACCATTCAGATGACTGGGATCATCTGAAATCAGATTAATTTTAGCTTTTGTGAAACTTACCCATATTTATAGCAAATGGACATTATCATTCTTAATCTGTGATGTTTGACATAGGGACATTTAAGTTTATGCCAGGTTCATCTTCTTTTTAACCAATCATACCTTAGTCTCGGAAACGGGAATCTTTTAACTCAACCAATCAGTAATAGTGTTCACATCTCACCTTCACGATTTTAGCTTCAAATTCATGTGTGTCCAGAATTATCTCCGTTTGAAAGTTAAACTGATAACTTGTATCTTGGGACTCTGCCAAATGATTTATTCGAGACCTAATCTGCAAACAATATCTAAATCATTTTCAGCTCTGCTCAGACATAACTGTAGGGCACAGCTGAATCTCAAGCCATTCCTAGAAAATAAAAATATGATTGTACATAATCCCATAGAAGTAGTTACAATACTGTGACTTGGAGGGACTGACATGGAAAAAGCGAAAAGTCTTTAGGAAGTGACAATAAACCGAGTCCCCTTTGCTACAGGCTGTGCACGTTAAAGATCCCTCTACGCTTGAAAATTGAAAAAGAGCAGGCAAAAGTTTCCTCATTGCACACTGCATGGTGGTGCTCATCTTCATTATCCCATAAGGTGCACAAGAGTAGGACATAAAACTCCATTTCATTTCATTTGAGACCCTGCCAAATAATGTTTTTAAGATCTAGTGCATGGTACAGCTGAATCTCCAGCCCCTATTCCATGAAAAAAAGAATATGATGGTGCGTTGCAATATGTAATAAAAACCCTTACAAGAAAAGCAATTCCAATATCCACAAATCTTGTCCACAACATGGCAAAATCGGGAGCAATTGGAAGTGGACTCCAAAAACAGGAAGCAACATCAGGTGTTTTGAAGAAAGTAATCATAAGCTTGGTCTTCTTTTGTGCGTATTCACCTTTACCATATATATCTCTATTTCTGTCTTTTCTAGAACTTTCTAGAATATAAAGTAAAAGAAATTAAATTTCCATTTGTAACAGAAGATCATCAATCAGAATTATCATGTAAATTCCCCAAGCTTCTAATATTACATAATGTTTAGACAGGAAACAATTCTCACTCTGTCTAAAACTTTATAATTCTTGACAAGAAGTTACTTGAATTACAATTTATTGAAGTTATCATAAAATAAGAATTCTTTAATTGTAAAACAATAGCAGTGAGCCAACTTAGAGGGTTATCGTTTCTTCTACACATCCAAAACTATATTATATTTTCACTGTGTTTCACTTTAGCGGATAAACTCTTTATAACAATAATACAATCTGAGGACTGAGCATAAATTTAAGCAACTATAGAACTTTCACTGTACATGAGTTATTGCCCTTGATTGAATTAAAGGAAAAAACAACCTGGAACAGATTCAAGGGGTACAAAAAATAAGGGGGGAACATGAACAAGGGTGATTAGAACACTATTTGTTCAATCTAAAGACAAAGCAACTGTAACACTCTGACTGTACGTGAGTTATTGCCCTTGATTTAATAAATCCAATATTATTTATTTCAGCTCAGGACTGTTTAGTGTACAAGCAGAATGACTTTCTATCAATGAGTTATTGCCCTTGATTTAATAAAAACTGATTTTTTATTTCAGCCCAGGACTGTTTAGTGTACAAGCAGAATGACTTTCTATCAATGAGTTATTGCCCTTGATTTAATAAAAACTAATTTTTTTATTTCAGCCCAGGACTGTTTAGCGTACATGCAGAATGGCAGTGAATTAATTAAAGTGCGTTCTAATAGTCGACAATATCATCGTTATTTTTCATTATCTAACGACATGGTGGAAATACGATGGCAGCCTACAAATAAAAAACCACATAAAGCTAAAAGTAAGTTATTTTACATAACACTTTAAGCTTTAAGCAAAGCTATTTCTGCTTTTTCCTAGGTCAGATTTAAAACATAAGTAATTATCGACACAATGTAAGTTTTATCTATATAGACACGGCTTTATATAACAACAATCACTGGTTAAAGTTTTATGCAACATTTCATGTGCCTGAGGACGACGGGGGGGAAACATGTCGAAACGTTGTATAAAACTTTAACCAGTGATTGTTGTTATATAAAGCTGTGTCTATATATCATACTCACAATCACTAAATACCATTCAAAGACTTTAAGTTTAAGTCTGTATAAATTATCAATTAATATTTATTCTC